GCCGGCCGCGCGTCGAAGGCCGTAGCTGAGGCCTCCTCGCTACCGTCTTATGAAGAACGGAGCCTTCAGATCTGGCGCGCTGCGGACGTGTAACTGCAGCCGGACGCGGAGGGCTGTCCGCTGAAACAGGCACCCGCTTACACTGCCTCAGGCACCCGCTTAAACTGCCCCCGAAGAACCCGTTTTCGTTTTGCTCCCGACCTCCGATCCGATACTCGGGGGAAACGGCCCCGCGCCACTGCCCCGCCCAGGCCGTGTAACCGCTAAAGCCACCAGTGTCCCCATAACCTCCGGGAACACTCCAGCGCCCCTTTCCTGCCGTACAATCACTCCCGGCGAGACATCCGAATCTTTCTAAGTAGAAAAATAAAACGACTCAGTTCTACCGTCAAGTTTGCAAATGGCTAATTAGAAAAATACTTTAATGGTGTGGACATCAAGTATATTCAATTGCTAGTTAGCCATCAACAGAAAATCCTTCTCAATCACAAATTAAGATACAGCGTGTTGTGTCAACCTTCTCACCCTTCATATGGGTTTTTATTAAAGCTATTAGTATCCAATCACTTATAATATTAAGGAAACGCCTTTATTGTGAACACAATGCTTTATTCTTCAACAGCGGCCAATGAACCATTGCCCATACTTATTCTGGGCCTCCACGCTGTAAAAGAAAAGCGGACAGTTAAATATATTCCACTAAAAGAACAGGAAATGGAAATCAAATCTTCTTTTGCCCTGTTATAACAGAGTTCTAGTTTTAATTTCTGATTTATACATTGAATTTTAATCCATATAAGAACATGCACAGCGTGTCAAATATCAGCATCTACCAGTAACAGCTCTATTTTTTTCAGGGGAGAATACAGAAAGATCAACACCTGCACCCTACAATTACAGCTGCTTCCACTCCTCCCACTCTGAAGAAACCTGGCTCTTACTCACTTTAGAAAGGTCTGGCAAACACAGCAGTAGCTTTGGAGTTATTTTCACTGCCCAAATTCCAAAGTGCAAAGTAAAAACAAGGCCAAGGTAAGCCATTACAATATTTATGAGAAATCGGAAAGGTATTCAATTCATTATTTTGCCAACAAAATTATTTTACAACTTACCTCGCCGTTAGAAAATTTATGCTAGAAGTTAAGTGTATTATTATGGAAAATAACTAATTTGATTTCTAATTATAATACCTTACCCACATACATGCAGGAAAACTGATTTCCTCTACTAACGTGACTACACTGTAGGTGTCCTTATCATTTAACAAAGCTATGCAAGCGTCTTTTCATTTCAAACTCACACCCTTCTCACAAGTTCTTCAAATTTTGTGCGTTCTCCCTTTTTAAGCATCAGTGTTTACAGCTGAGAATTGTTACAGAACAAAAGCAGGTTTTTCTTGCCTTTCATGTAAAATGCTATATTCGCAAATATTGCAGAAATAAAATGTTTCCACTCTAGAAATACAAGAGTTAACTTACTAATAAACAACTTACAAAAACTAGTTTGAGAAAAATATTTTGGACTTCAATCACCTGGTAATAGCCTTTGCTGGTCTATGAGCAGATTCCTGTGCTCCTGCCCCGCACATTCAAATTACACATTAAACAGCTGTTACAAAACCGGTAGCGATGGTGATTAACGTAGGCTATGACTGTCGTTAGCTATCTGCATGTCTGTTTTAAGTCCGTATCTCTCTACTCAGCGATACCACAAGCTACTAATTAGCAAGAGTTGGGTACCTTGTGTATTAAGAATCTGTAGTTTGGGTATAGTGCATCAAAGCTATGAAAGCTGGGAGCGCACCCCTACCACGAATTACAATGCAATACCATACTTGAAACTTTGAAGGTGTAGAAATAAGGTAAATGCTAGGTAGATACAAACAATACACACCAATAAATGAAACTTACTTGAATATATTCAATCTCTTCATCTGACATAAGTTTCCTTCTGTATTTCTGAGGTAAGGTTCTTGCTAATTCAGAAGTGTCTGGAGTACCTTGTACTCTACTAACAGGTGAATTACTTTGAAATGCCGGTGATCTGCCTCCTACAGACTCCTGTGCTTTCGAAGCATGGAGAGATGGCACACTTGCTTGTAGAGATTCCTGTACTGAAACCCAGATTGCAAAACCATTTGCAGAAATATAACAAGACTGTAAAATTAATTAATGAGCAGCCAATAAAAGTTACCAGTTATTGACAATTTTCTTCATTATAACAAATACTTAACAGAATTAAGACACTCTTCTTCTCATAACCTGTTTTTATTGTTGTTAAATATATCAATAGCATAGTGAAAAAATTCTGACAGTGGAATAAGCATGTTTGAGTGGCAGAAATACTGATGTGGAAACAGAAGATAAATCAGCATGTATCCTAACAAAGGCTTTTTCACTGTGAAGCTGTACTTACAGAAAATTCACAACGTATCATAAATGTGTGTGTGTGAAGGCAATTATGTAGAAAGATAACTAAGATAAATAACTAAGATCCACTGACATGATGCTTTTTGTTTACTGTAACTGTAAAGACAGACAAGTGAAAAAGAGGTAGAGACTTACAGAAGGATGAAGTTCACAACTATGACTTACCACAACATGCAAAGCAATGTTGTACCCATTTTTAATATTACAAAATGGCATCATATCAGATTTAGTTACTGATCTACAGAATGACCACCAAATATCAGGCATCAGCAATCAATGTTCATGAAATGAAGAGACCAAGGAGTGCATGAAGTACTTCACAGATGAGGGCCAGGAGCTAGGCTTAAGGAAGTCACATTAGAGAAGGTGCCTTGAGTTTGAGGATAGAAGAACAGATGACAAAAGTGTTGTCAAAGTCAGCATTCTGAACCTTAAGTCTGTCCCACCGTGGCTGATTTTACGATGGAAGTATGCAATTACCCCACCAGGCAGGATGGGGTCTCACAGCAACATGTTTACTTAAGCACTCAGACCTCTATAGAAGGTTAAAACACCTGATAAAGCAGAATGCTTCCACAAGAAGTCCCTCTCAGTGCTCCTGAAAAATGAGCAAGACAAATGCAACATCTAAACAGCTGGGACAGAGGGACTATATAATTATAAAGTAAGCAGCATCAAGACTGGATAAATCAAAGAATGCGAGGAGTTCAAATACCACAGCATTGCCTGCCCCTCTCCCTCCTGCCTCTGACAAGATCAATGAAGACAAAGGCAAGAAGCCAGTTTTAGCCAGTGAGTCTGAGTCAATGGCAGGATTAGGACATCAAACACCCGCAGCAATGCAATCAAACCACCACTGGTAAAAAAAAAAGCCACCATTGAGAGGCATATTCAGAAGTTCTCAGTCAAAAGACTGTGTCTGAAAGCCCCAAGTTGATCAGGTGGTTCAGGAACAACGGAAGGTCCCAAACAGAGCGAGGCGGAAGAGAGCCCATCAGAAGGAGCATATTCTGAACAGGGGGCAAAGTATTTTTGTTTCAAGAAATAACACACCTTGTATATGAAGAAACAAGAAACCGTTTCTCAAAGTTTGTTTCACCACAAAAATGTCTAGAGATTTGCCAAGGATTTTCCTCTATTGTATGTTTCAAAGTCTGAAGTGTAGTTGGAGTAGATGCATTAGGCAATTAAAAACATCGGAAGTCAAGACTCAAAAGTACCAGACTTAATATTGCTGTTGCTTTAGCTCAGATAGGTCTCTACTACATTTTTGCTTTCTCTGTTTGAGACCATCATGTTGCAGTAGTAATATGGTAAAAGAATTTGGCTGGCCTTTCAAACACCCACGTCCCTAGAAGTTTAGTCTTGATCTGCAGAGCTACGCAGAAGCAACAGTCCGGTACAGTGAAATGCAGTTATTGCTACAGCGTTCAAGCAAGATGAGGTAGATTGCAGTTTACTAATGAGACGACAGAACCTGATTAAGTTAGAGAAGTCTAACATACTTAAAAGATATAGTCACAAAAGTCTTCTGTCGCAGCGAGAAACAAGAGCTAAGTAACACGTTTTCAAGCTTTTGAGAAAGCAGTTCATTGGCATGAGAGGTGGTGCATTTGGCTGAATTGTGCACAACATACAGAATTCTTACAGAAGGTTATCGCAGAAAATAGTTCCCGAAGAGTTCACAGGTAAGTCAGAAGTGGCACTGATGTGCATTGTAGATACTTTGTAATGTTAATGGATAATCGAAACTTAAATCTAAATCACAAATTTGATAATGCTGTGGCAAATAACGTGGTATGATATAATTTCTGTATTATTTCGTATTTCTATATTATACCGTAGAGCTTCTTAAGACGTCTCCTACTTTAGTTTCAAATGCTTTGCTGACTCAAAAGGAATATTAAAACAACATATCACTCATATAACTTCGATGCCTAAATGTAACAATATTGGGAATCCTGTAAATATCAACACAGCTACAGGTATAAAAATTAATGTCAAAGATTGTAGTGGAATTAATTTTTTTTCAGCATTAATTAGTAGCACAAGGAAACACTTCTTAAAATGTACAGTAGGATGGCTCTCCCAGCTATAATCAGGGTTTTAAATACCACAGACATCGTACACTCCAAGTAAGAAAGAAGAGATGAGGAAAATGCAACATCATTTCTGCAAATACCACCGAATACCTAAAGCTGCTTCAAACTGACTTGGGCACAATCATTTCACGCAAATATTAGTATTTGGAAAAATGGGACTTTATATATAAGTAGAAAAACAACACTGGAAATCTTTGTGAATATGCCTTGACCAAGAAATAAAGACATGCATCCATTACGTGTATTCCCACAGTTGTATAGAGTCTGAAGAGTCAAAGCATTGCCTTCAAACTAGAACAACTCTATTTCAGAAACCCTGCTCAAAATCAGTTGAGTCACATAGTTGAAGCAGAAAAATTGTGTGCTAGTTCTTATATAAAACAGTTAATGCAAAGAAAGGTGGCGCAAGTTGTATGCAGAGATTAAATAACTTACTTTTAGGTCTGGGACTACTTTTTCTGTCTGGGAACTTAATTAATGGAGTATGCGGCTTCACTACCTAGAACAAGGCAAGGTAGTAGGAGAAACAGGGAGAGTAAAATACATTTCTAGACACACATTGCCTTCACAATAATAAAATGGAACATACAACGTATTAAACAACCATTTCTATACTAGTTTTCTGCACCACCACTCTGATAAACTTACTACTTATTAATGTTCTATGTTTACCCATGGAGAAATTTCACCTTTAAAGGCATTCCTCCACCCTAACGTGTCCTGAGCAGGAAAAAGCATTCTCTTCCTTTTCTCACAGCAATCGGGATGTGTGTGTGCAGAAACAGCAACGACAGTCGCATAAATGCAATTACAAAGTTTCAGCAGATGGCTTTGCTAGCTGTGCTCTGCCTGTACATACTAGCTCAGGTGGCTGGATGGGATTGACAAGTTCCATTAAGGAAAAAATCTATAAATTCTAAAGCTTGGTAGTCGAAGCCACACAGCTTATTTTTGAAACATGGCTTTTGAAGAAGACTCCACGTCTCACCTTCACCTTGAGGAGGGATGGCTCAGAAAGGAGCCTCCGGCTGGCGCCCTCCCCTCTTGAACAGCGCTCAGAAGGGTGCGGGCTGCCCTGTAGCATCCTTTGGTAGCTGAGAACCAGGCACCGGCATCAAATAACCTGCGACACCGGGCGGGGCCCACCGCACGCCTCCACCCCCGCGCCAAGGACACCGGCCTCCCC